GACTATAATTTTTGAAAAGAACTAGGACAAATCCATCCTTGTGGATCGAACAAATGCGCTGATAGTGAAAGTATACCGCGACGTGTAACAGTAAACTTAATGATAGCATTAACGTGGTATGTAAAGCTATCTGAAACCGGGTCCCATAAAACGCCCAAAACCTTTATAAATTCCGAGTCGTCAGAGTTATCGAAACTTTTAGGAACTTCTAAGTGAGTAGTAGGTAAACCATCCAATAGTTCCGGAACATTGGAAGACCATTTCCGTAATTCATAACCAGCTGTATTCATAAGTGCTATCAATTCATCGCGTATCCTCAACGTATCGGAGAATGTATCCGCACCGCCGTTAAGATCATCCACGTAACTGTTTTTTAATAATAAATTAGCCGCCGGTGGATATTTATTTTTTCCGTCGTGAGCGAGTTGGTGTAAACACCGAATAGCTACAAATGGACTAGACTTTAAACCGTACGTGTTAGTAGTCAATTCATAAATTTGTAGAGGTTCAGTAGGCGAAGATCGCCAGAAAATGAGTTGATATCTACGATCATCCGGGTGTATCCAAGTTTGACGAAACATCATCCGAACGTCAGCAATAAAAACTATAAGGGGCCATCGAAAATTTAATAAGATATCCGAAATATCCTTTTGCAACTTCTCTCCAGAATATAAACAATCGTTTAAACACACACCCGTACTACTAGGAACGCTACCATCAAAAACTACACGAATTTTACTAACATTACCCGATTTTTTAAATACCTCATGATGTGCCAAAAAGTAATGTTCATCTTCCGAATTAAATTTTAAAACCGTCATGTGTCCTAAATTAATATACTCCTCCATAAATTCTATATATTTTAATTTAAACTCCGAGTCACGTTGCATTCTTTTTTCTATTGACAAAAATCTCTTTAAAGCGGTCTGCCTCGAGTCACCCAAACGCTGATGATCAGGTATGAGTGGCAAACGTACAATATATTTACCGTCTAAACCACGTGTAGTGCTAGAACAAAATAAACGTTCACATTCTATATTTTGAAAGAAAGAAAGAAAATATATTTATTGACCACATAGGTACATAACAATGGTTTAACTTATTACAAAGGTGGTGGTCAATCAGGACTCTGCCTCAGCATAAGCCATATCAGAGTAGCTTACCCTGATACGGCGCTGGTTATTCTGGCAGAGCCTGTACAAAAGGTTGGCGTTATAGATATATATACATAAATTATAGGTATAAACTAAATGAAAATCTTTATATAAATATATATATTTACTTATACCTACTAATAAACTAAAATAAATAGTAATTACTGATGTGTAAAAGAAATTGTAATGGTGCGAACATATTTAGTTTACCTTTTATTGGCTGTATTAACCAATTCCTGTGACAGGACATAAAAAAATAAATAATAAAAAATATAAAAAATTACTCTCTGGTTGAATTCTCTATTTGTCTATGGTGGCGTCGCTTTTGCTTGTTTTGAATTGTTTAGACGTAAAATTTGTAAATGCGAAACATAAATTTATGCACAAGCGTAAAGTAACTGGATTCAAAGGAGTCGCAGAATTATGAGATCATTGAAAATTTAACTGTGATAGCGAAAGATGCTACGAGGAACCGATCTCCAAACCACTCTAAAATGTTTATTGAAAAGCGTTGAATGTGAGTAGCTCGATTAACAAACGGAATATAATTGTCGCATTATCAAATGTTTTTTAAGATTCGTCTTAAAATTCCTTAATGTTTTTAGGTTACGTAGTGGGGGCGGGAGATCGTTCCAACTTCGCGATGCTGCGAATCTAAAAGAACCACGAAAAGCCGCCGTGCGATGTTTAGGCGTAGAAAAAATATTAGTACACATTCTTCTCGGATATCTTTTGTGATCCTCAGCCCAAGTAAATTTTTCATATAAATAAGAAGGCTTTCCAGTTTTAATGATGCCAAATAATAGTGAAGCAAGATGATATTGCCGCCGCGCCTCCATTCTGAGCATTTTAGCATCATTCAAGAATGGCGTCACATGAGTTCTGGGTGGGATATGAAAACAGAAACGTGCGCAAGCATTTTGTACCCTTTGAACAAGCTTAGCTGTCTTCGCTATCAGACATGAACCGTATACAGTGTCACCATAATTCAACTTCGATAAAATCAAGGATTCACAAAGTGTAATTCTAAGTTGCCTGCTCAAGAAAGGTCTCACTTTATATAATATTCACGATATAGACAATTCCGAACACAATCAGTTAAGTGACTTTAAAAAATTCAAATGACCGTCGAGAACCAGACCCAGATTTCTGCACTTATGCACACGCTCAATGAACTCTCCATTTAAGGTAATATTAAAAGAAATATTGTTACATTTTATTATATTTTTTTTAGTTCCAATTAGCATGAATTTTGATTTTTTGGGGTTGAGAGCAAGACAATTGGAGAGGCACCATGTTTCAATCCTTGCCAGGTCCTCATTGATTTGTGACATTCCATTTTTATACTCATTTGGCGGGAAAGAGAGATATAACTGTAGGTCATCTGCATATAAATGATACTTACAGTACTTGATGCAGTTTATTATGTCAGCACTATACAAAACATATAGGATTGGGTTAAGTATAGAACCTTGTGGAACGCCTCGAGTCACAGGGAGAGGAGCAGACTGCGATCTTGTCCCACTTGTACCGGTCAACTCTACTAACTGTTGCCTATTTGTCAGGTAACTCTGAAACCATTTCACTGTATTTCGGTCGGCTCCATAGTATGCTAACTTTGACAACAGCAAGGTACTATTTATTGTTTCGAAGGCACGTGTGAAATCAAGCAAAACAAGGATGCTTATATTACCCTGATCCTGAGCCGCCAAAATATTGTCTACTACATCAGACAAAACAGTAGATGTGCTATGAGCACGGCGAAAACCTGACTGGAGATGTGGGAGGATATCATTGTCTTCTAGGTAACTTGTGAATTGATCACATACTACTCTCTCCAAAACCTTCGATAAGCATGGCAGAATACTGATTGGGCGGAGGTCGCTGAGCTCATTTGGTGGATTAGTTTTTGGCAAAGGCTTGATAATAGCGGTCTTCCAGGAATGAGGGAAAACACTGTTCATGATAGACTTGTTTACAATGGCGGTGATAGCATCTAATGTGAAAGGTAAGGTCATTATAATCATAGATAGTGAAATTCCATCGCAACCCTGAGCATTTGATTTAAGTTTAGTGATAATTTGCATAATTTCATCACTAGTGACAGATGTTAGAGAAAATGTATTTGGCCCATATCGATTGTGTTCAAAGATGGTGAGTCGCGATATTGTGACACTATTATTTCCGGAAATGAACAAAAAATGTGAATTTATAATATTTGGATTATCGAACTGTGGAGACAGGTCAGATGAACTTTTATTATTTAATAGTGCCATGTTTTTTAAATTATTCCACAGCTTCTTGGGGTTATTTATATTGCAGTTAATATATTTGTTAAAGTAACATCTTTTCTCCCTGTCTATGGCCTCTACCACCAAATGCTTCATTTCCAAATAACTCTGTTTGAAAACATCTGTTTTATACTTTTTATATTTTTGATGATAATCATCCCTAATACGCATCATTGACCTAACAGTCTCTGTCACCCATGGGTGAGGAGGATGCTTAAACTTCCGAATGATGACTGGGGCATGGAGATCAAACAGACAAGAAGTGAAACATTCAACTAGGGCATTGACACAATTCATACCATGGAATTCATTCCAATCAATGTGGCTTAGGTCACTGTTCAACAGTTCAGGAATGATACTGTTAAGCGGTCGGTACTGTATGCATAGAGGAGCAGGCTTTTCCCTTTTGATTTTGAATTCTGACAACAACATAGCATGAGCTCCGAGATCGGGACTGTACTTCACAACTACCCTTGAGACCCAATAGTCCGTGCAGATAATATCTATGAGACTCTGACTGTCATCGGTGAAATGTGTAGGTTCTGTGACTATTTGTTTCAGGGTCATTGTCTCCACAAATTGTATCAAGTTACGGGATTTGCTACTGGTTACATTTAGAAGGTCAATATTAAAATCGCCGAGCAGTATAAGCAGTATAATAATTAGTAAAAATCTCAGAACACGACCCAATACACAACTGTTCACATTGACTACCTATACTGCCTGCACGCACGTGACAGTCGTGGCCCGGGCCGCGGCGGTTACTACCCAAAGGCTAGTGGCAGCGCTACTTAGAAGCGCCGCTCAGCAGCGCTGCACAGCATCGGCTGCCAGGCAGCTACTGCCGAGATCCGAATGCTACCTATAAATAACTACGAGAATATGTAAGGTAATACATAGCTAAACTTCTATTTTTGTAGATTAACTGTAATAATATAGTCACGGATGGTATTGGATTTTATAGCATTGTATTAAACTTTTTTGGGCAGTAAATATTGATTTTATGGCTCTTGTTTTTTATTGTGTAGGTAAGGTCCCTATCTACTTCCTATACAAGATGTAAAGAAACGCTCCTGAAGACTAAGAGCTAGACCATAATGCTGACTGTACAACAACTTGTGTTCTATAAAAACGACACTGAATATACAATTACTTTTGATTAAAACCTAGTCTTCGTAACCGTATTTTTCCTTGCACTCATAAAGTAGTGATTATAATGTGAGTTAATGTCATTCAGCAGATTGACGAATTGACGCTTTATTTCTATGAAGACTACAATAATGATACTTGTCATGGGAAAAAGAAGGCCTACTCTTGGTATGCCACTTTTTCGAAGTTAAAAAACCCAACTTAATTAGAAGACAAAGTCAAAACATACAAATCGGTTTCAATAACATAACCTATTACTTACTGAACTTCAGCAGCTTATTTCTCATGAATCCGTCGAATTAGAGTAATAATTTTTTTTATAATTGAATCTAAGGCCAAAATCCTACAAAATGATGTAGGTTTCATCGTGGCACAAAAAAATAAATTTGAAACGAAACTCCATACATCATTGCCCATTCTCCTTTTGCATGACATTTTCGCCTTTCTCTTCTGGCACTTGACCGATGTCCAGGTCTGCCAATAGACTCTCTCGATCTCTTTCGCTGAGCTCAGACTTCAACGACTCAATAACGCGTTCCATTTCAGGAACGCGGCCCGAGTCGGTCTTCGACTCGAGCGCTTCGATTCTATGCGTCAAATCGTCCAACCTACGGTCAGTACCATCTAGCCGAGCTGTTATCGAAGTGATGGACTCCCGCAGCCGCACCATTTCCCCCCGAAACTTCCGCATTTCATCCGTCCACTCCGCAAGAGCACGCCTCCAGTCCAGCATGTCATTTTCGTCTGGAGCCCGCGATGATTGGCACACTGAAAGTACATCAGCAACAGGGGCCACCTTTGCAGGCGATAAATCGTCATCCGATTGATCAATGACTCCCTTCACCGGTGTATTATCACTCTTCCGAGTAGTATTCGGACAGTTCGGGCAAGTCCAGTTTTTACTTAATTTAGCCTTTTCCGATAGCCCCAAGCAAGCCTTGTGGTATTTGCCAGTACACTGACCGCAAATAGCGGCCCCTAACGCCGAGAGAAATTTCCCAAATGCACCGCAACTAGGCATTGTAGATGGTTCCTTTATGAGTCTTGGAATCGATGCTAGACAACAATTTACGCCAGATGTCGCTAGGCGCTACAGTCACGACCGATGATAGTGAAAGCCGCTTCCCCCGGTAGATGTCAGGTCTAACAGTAATATGTTAGCAGTAAGGTGGGTTTCGTTATAATAATAATTGGTTATCGAAACACCCTCTGTCAAAAAGTAACTCCAATAAGTAACGACAGGAAAGTCCTTAATATAATACAGGAGATCACTTGTAGCCTTGCGCCCACACTTGTGTAGATTCACCAGCACTTTTCGACCAAGAGTATCGCAAATTAAACAGGTGAAATGTACTTAAATTAATTTTACACACACAAAAACAACGTAGTGTTACTTGAATTGTACGACGTAAACGTCAACGTAAACGTCAAAAAAATCTATATTCGCCGGACTAATAAATTTACATTCAGGTGGTTGTTCATAATGCCAAAATTTTTCTACTGCTTGTAACAATTGAAAAGCCGAAACGTTAGAAGCATAGCTTACAGTATCATCCGAGTTAGTATTTTGACTTGGCCCAAAAACTGCATAGTCAAAAATAGTACTTAATGCATAAGGCCCACCGGCCCCTAAGTCTATCTTCTCACCGTTCAAAATCTGACCTAAAATGTCGCAACCGAAAATTATATCTATATGTTTCATATGAAAAGAACCGTTATCTGAAATTATTATTTTTTTATTTGAAATATTTAATTTATTAACTAAGTAAGAAGTCGGTTTCTTTAAAACAACCGCTGTAACCGTTAACATAGGAAATTTTGTAATAATTGGCCGAAAATAAATTTTAACTACACTATTATTCTCTTTACTTTCAACACCGCCTACGCCTACAATAGGTACATTTGAGTAATGTCGCTTTAAGCCTAAACGTGTCACCAAATCAGCTTTAATAATAGATACTTGGGAACCGAGATCTAGTAATGCCCGAGCAAGTATAAATGAATTTTGAGATGATTTAACTTCAATTATAACCGTAGGTAATATAACATTATCAATTAGTTTTGGTTCCAAAGCGACATTACAAAACTGTAATTGCTATTCTGAATTAGTACGCTGAAGCTGTGAGACCCCGGCGTTCGTATTCCGTACCTCCTGTGGCCCGCCATACGACCTACCAGCCTCCGCTGCGCCAATATTATTACTAATACGTTGTCGATAACGTGAAGAGCATAAACCGTTAGTGCTATAAGCACGGCTCAATTGTTCGCCACGCATTGATGTTTGACGCGTCTCATACTAACTGACGTTTCTGTCGCGCCGGTCCGCCGCTGCCGTCGCTGTGATAACAAACCGGTTTGGTGGTTGGGAGCCACGCTCCGATGATGTAGTAACAAACGCGTGCCGAGTAGGAGATTCTGGACGCGGAATATTCATCGTACATATTAATTTATTATGACCGATATTACCACATGTATTACATGGTATTTTACTATTACATGATCCAGCATTATGTTCTCCGAAACATTTAAAACATAAGTGTGAATCCTTAATGTAATTCTTACGATCATTATTAGACATCTTTTGAAATTTATAGCATTCGAATATATTGTGCCCCGTAAATTGACAATATAAACAGCGTTTCGTTGGAACAAGATTATTGTGAGTGACGAGACCTGCACGTGGTGCACGCCGCCCGCGATCCGAGTAGTTATTGTTATTCAATGAATCCGAAGTCGCTGTGTCTATCAATCGACAATCATTTTGCAAGAACTCGATTAATTGATTGAAATTGGGCAAAGACACCGTATTTCCGCCATACTTATGCTCAAACCGAGACTTAACATCTAAAGGAAGTTTCATAAGACTGATATATAATAATAAATAACTCTAATCATTTACGGGAAAGCCGAGATTAGTTAAAGCGCGCGTAGATTCTAATAAAGGGTTAAGTATTTTTGTCCGGAGATTTAAAATATTATTTAAACACGGCAAACTCAATATGCGTGAAATATAAGAATCCGATAACAATTTTTTATTTTCGTATCTAGTTTTTAAAATATCCATAGCCACGTCTAATGATTCATCAACCATTGGTAAATGTTTTATTATATCCCTAGGTTCTTTTTGAACGTTCGAAAATAAATAATGAAACTTTTCTGTTTTCGAAATATCTTTCCTAGTCATAACCAAGGAATTAAACAAACTAATAAAACTAGTCCAACCAAATATATCACCATCATACATAGAAAAGCTTATTGCAGGCAAGCGAACGTTTTGTGCACTTTCGGTAGGCTGATGAGAGCCATCCAAGTTGGGTAAGCAGATGAAATCGCCTCTAATTGATAATAAATTTCTTCCGTGTTTTTAAACTGATTGTCATATAAAATAACCCGTTTTTCATCCGTTACAGTATTCAACGATGCTTCGTATGCCTCGCTTAACAACTTATACCTTTCTTCAATTTTACGTAACCGAGCCGAAATAACACCAGTTGTTTGACTTTTATTAATAACAATTTCATTAGTATTTATGAACCAGTCACACTGTATTTTAAATTTATTTTCTACAGTTTTAGACGCCATTTTGTAATCGTGGAACTTGGGTGAAAATAAGTAAATTTTTATTTACAAATTATTTTTTATTTACAGATTATACAAATTATTAAATAAATTTCGAGATGTTTACCGTACCGTATACCAAAAAATATGAAACAATAATCCGCGAGATGGACCAAAATAATTATGTTCGCGGGAACACCTTCAATAGCCCATGAGCACAAGTTATTTGATTCGGTCGCCGATCCTATCGTTTCTATTGGTATTTTATTTTGTCCAGACATAGGATTCCCCACTAAGAAGTAAACCACTCACCTTAACACCGACAGCTTCAGGAGATAATGGGTCGATCACCGATCGACTGGCCAAAGTTCACAGTAGTGCACTGGTTTCCAAATAAACTGCAATCGTCTTATGTATGGCGAAAACTGTTCTTTGCAATGTTAATTCACAATTAAACACAAAATAATAAAAATAATCCGATATATCACACCGAAAACCGTTCACTTCAACAACAATAATTTTATTACACACTCATGTATATTTGGCGCCACCGAAAGTTCGAGTCTTTTTTTTTTTTTTACTGGCCGCGGCATCCGTCACCGTTGGGTCGTGGATTTGTAGTTTACCTACATATTGAGAAATACTATGCCTGAAAACTAATTATATGTTCAACCTATGTCCTACAGACTTTGAAACTTGTATTTATTATTGTGATAATACATATTATTTTGGTAATGATATGACATACCTTTTTTATAAATACGAGCGAATACTTTTGCTTCTAGCCTAGACTCATGAGGTTTTGCCTATTCAAACGGCCGATCAGAATCATTTTCCTTGTCCGATTGATTACCAGTAAGATTTGAAGTGTTCCCTTCCGACATTACTGTATAACTTTTGTGAGAATTAAAATATATAATCATAAGCTTTTCAATATTTTTGGCTTCAATTAATTTCTCCGGACATTTAAAATCCATCCGTTGTACATAACATCCTAACGTTATCTAGTTTGCTCTCAAATGAACTTCCCCACATATTGTTTAAAGAATCTTGAATAAATTGTGATATCGTTGTTCCATTTACAGTATCTAGCATTTTACATACCACTATTTAAGGCTGGTGGCTCCTACTAGGATGTAATGGTCTCACCAAGAAATGTACGACAGCTCTTCCTAAGAAATCCGTAGTTTCGTCTACTGAAAGCCATAGCTTTTTATCAACAATCTTATTTTGCATCTCTTGTGCTTTGATTTTAAAAAGCTGATCTAGGTAAACTTTTCTCAATAAGGATTCACTAGGTAGTTCAATATTTTTGCAATTGCAACACATGTACTTTTGAAAAAATGTTTTAAATACATTGTTGCTCAGTTGGGACCATGGTATGTTACAAAGAATCATAAATTCGATTAAGTCGAAGTAAAATTCTAAAGGAGTGTTGCGCTCGTTCTTCGTGCCTTTATGTACTGCTCCTTCTAGATGTCTTTGGACGTTACTCTGACGAGTTGCATTCAAATGTGCTTCGCATTTAGAGCAGTAAATTAATCCACTTGCATGGTCGTAAAATAGCTCCGGATTATCATTGATCCACTTGTTGACGGTGGCTTCTTTGATTGAACTCTGCACCATGATAATACTTTTAATCTGGAGCAAAAAAATTATAAATTTTAGAAAACCGTATGAATGTGTTTGTAAGTATGTGAGAGATAGGGCACAACAGTTGCGAAGTTTAAAAGATCTAAGCGTGCATAAATTCATACAGATAGACAGACGGCGGGAAGCGAACTTTGTTTTATACTAAAGTTTAAAGCTAAAAAAGAAAATCAATAAAAGATTACCAGAAAATCTAACTCCAATCGTTAACCATATAGCCAATCAATTAAAAAAACGAGTCCCGTATGTTAAGCTTCTTCAGTAGCATTTGAAATCATTGTTACTTTATTGCGATTGTATCAAAGAACATCTTAAGTTAAACAATACCGATTTTGATAACAATACAAGAAAACGTTCTACATAGGGAAAATCTATTTTAAAGGAAATTTAATAAAAATATGAACAAGAAACTTACCAAGTATATCACCAATTTCAAATATCCAATTATCCAAGTAAGGCCAAATCAAAGTCCGTTAATGCGTGCCGAAATAGTCGTATTAAGTAGAGTCCAGAATCCAGTAAACGAGCCAGGGTCAAACAGGATTGACTACACAAAACACAATAGGAAACAAGTGAGCGCATTCGACGAACCGAGGTAAGCGAATGAGCTGAGTGAATGAGTAAACCGATTCATTGGTAATAGATAGTTTGAATGTGGTAGAAAGAGACACAATCTAGTACATTACGTTAAGTGGGGAGTGCTCCGCATTTGCGCTATTGTATTCTTTTGTTCTCACAAGCTATGTTGTGCGAACTAGAAATGTGGCAACATCGCGCGTATTGGTATTTTGCAACTTTGGACATCCGATGTCA